TATATTTAGAAGATGTATCTGTTGAAAGAGGAATGAAGACTAAGACCACAGAATTGAGTAAGTAGCTTTGAAGGTTTAGTAAGATAGAAATGAACCCCATCTCTTGCTAAGAGCATTGTTAACATGCAACAAAAAACCTTTTGGATTATGCTTCAGATCTACCTCACCACACTGTTTTTTATCAGCTATTCACATTGGAAATTCAGCTCTAGTTCTTTTGACACCAGAATTCAAAACGCATTTCCTTATGAATTTTAGTAGCGTGTTATCCTGACAGTCAAGCTCTCTCCTTGATTCTTTTAATTCAGATTAGGCTAGCCTAGGAATAGTTATGTTCTGTGTTCTTATTTCTGATTTGTGGTCTGCCACTGCCTCTTCATCAGAAATCTTTCGCATTCCTTTAATCCCCCTTCACCTTTGGGCAATGCAGATCGAGGCACATTCCCAATATTTATCAATCAGTCTCAAAAGCTGTCAAAGTGACTACACTAAAAGAATCCAAGGTCCTTCTCAAGTTTGAAATCAGTAGATATCCAGAAGATTTAGCAGCTGGCCAGTTAGCTTATCCATCCCTACACGAAGACCAGATGAATTAGGATTTTGTTGATTTTTAAACAGGCCTAGTTAAGATATACATTCTTTCTGCCTCCCTTATGCTTATTTTCTGCATAACTTGTGACCCTCTGAGCTCTTGTGGTTCTAAATGTTCTTTTCTGTTTGCTTGTTTTCCTTTTTTTTTTTTCAATCCATCTCATCTTACAGTTTCTGCTCTCATTTTTACGCCTTGATCTCCCCTCTGAATTATTTTTGCTCAATTGTTTATGTGACTAAACAGTAAATTATCTTCACTATATTATTTAGGAATACACTAAGGACTGTACTTAGACTATAAACATTATAAATTTAGGCAAAACTAGCTCAATTACATTCAGGCAAACTTAAAAATACTTTCATGCATATCTGTGCACATGTGTATATTAATAAATACAGTTTATTTTATACATAATTTGTAATTTAAATATAAAAAAGGAACACTTAATTTTGTCTCAGAATGCCATGGTGGGTTTTTTTGTCAACACATAACAACAGATTTACAATTTTAAAGTCATATGAATATAGCAAGAAGAATTTTGTTTCAGACCAGTTAGAGAGTGCTTTCAATTTTTTTCCCCCTGCTTATTTCAGAAATAGAAAAACATCCACAAATTTTAGAGCACACTTTAGCTCCACGTTTCATGTTAGTTACATTTGATATTATTTGGAAGTAATAAGCATGCATAAGCACTTCTTAAATGATGCCAAGGTTTAAATAAGTTTTTCCTACAGTATTCCTTACTGTCGAATAAGGTTAGGTTCACTAAGCAAGTATATACTATAGTGATATAGATCTTCCCATAAGATAAGAAAGGTTCTCCAGAAGAAAAAAGTAAAGGAAAAAGACTTGTTTTTTCTAGATTTTTTTTTCGCTTCCCTAACACCTTGCTACTTCTTTGTCCGCTTCTGAGTGCTAATAATTATTGTTTAATTCACCTCTGACTGGGAAAAAATAAAATATGTTTTATCACCTTACTGTGCCAAGAGCATATTATCACATTCTTTTGGAAATACAAAGCAGAAGTAAATATACATTTTTTTATTTAGTATTAACACTACTGAAAAACTGGCCTTTCTCTAAAACAGGATAACTTAATTCCTATGATTAATTTTTTCCTCATCATGTTAATTTTCTTTTCTTTTTTTTTTTTTTTTTTATTTTACATAGAAGCAAGGATTCTTGGAAACAGAATTTTGAAAAACAACGGTTACTGGATTCATATGTAAATCAGTGTTTGAACGCAGAATTATTTTTCTCTGAGTCACAGTGGCAGGATTGCACAGGAAGTTATTCAAACATCTAGGGAGGGGTTGGGGAACCAGACCTTGCTGTAGTGGTCATGAACAGGAATTATCACCTTATTAACCTATATGTGTTTTTCACAAAATCAATCTCCCCTGTGTTAGCCATGTATTAACATGGAATATCTTCCTCTAAACACTCACCATCAAAATATATGGACAGAGCGTGTGGATATAGTGAACTGAGAGTGCAAAATTACTTATCCTTTGAGTACACAGATCTAGAATTCGGAAGCAACATTTTTCCCCTTCGGCAGAGCCAAACAAGGTGCAATCAGGGTGAAGACTGTCGGTTCCTGTTTCAAGATCAGGCAGTGCATCCCTTGAGTCCTGTTGGGTTAAGTGTTTTAGAGAGACCAAAGATGACACTGGCCCTGCTGAGAGGAGCCCACGAGATTCTTTTTCCTTTAAACTAAAAGCTTTCACACAGTAATTGTGCTGAGAAATGTACCATGATTGATCTTAAATAAAATAACAAAGGAAGACATTCAGATAAGAAATAATCCCTAGTGGCCTGAACATAATCAGGATGCATCAAAGTATTGTAACGCGTTGTCCTTCCCACACTTTCAAAAGGGGCTCTGCTGATGTGAAGTGTGCTTAGGCTGATTGCTAAGACAGCATCTGGTTGACACAAAGAGCCTTTATTCAGCCTCATCTTGCAAAACTCTACTATAGCTCACTCTGGCAGATTGAGTGGAAGCAAAGCCCAGACAGGCCTGCACTGGTGTCTGATGATATCCAAGAAAAGCATTTGCCTCTGCGTTACATCTGAATATTTAAAATCTTCCATTGAAATTGTATTTTTTCTGGTAGACTAGCCTAACTTCACTGAATTAATATTTCAGTGATTTTGAAGTTTACCTGAAACTGCTCCCTTACACTATTCAGAATTTCCCTTTGAAAATTCAAACCTTCAAAAAATCATGAGGCAGTGTTCTCAAGAAGAAATAACTTGCTGGAAGTCACTCTTGTTCCTAATTAATCCTTACAAATAACATGTAGTCCGAAATCTTTGACTGAGCAACTGAACAAAAACATCCTAGTACATTTTATTATTACCTATTAAGGCTGTGTGGAAGAATGTACATTTCTTCCCTATATATTATTTCAGGGAGAAAAAAAAAAAAAAAAAGGGAGCAAACCGGTTCTGAATTAGTATTTGGCATGCCCAAAATTTCAGCAGAGTGACATACGACACAGAAGAAATGAGAAAGTTCTTGGGAATTCATGCTTAAAAATTCTCAGCTTACAGAGGAAATTTCCTTAGTGCTCACCATGCACTCATTCAAAGGCCTGGGCATTCTATGCACCTTCTCAGGGACCAGAAACATTTTGAAAGAAAACAGTTCCAAAAACATTCCATTGCTTGAAGACTGAAGCTGAGCAGGCTTAGGGAGACAAGATGATAACTGCACTTGGAAAGAGTTCTACACAGTAGAACTGCTCAAACACTGAGAATTTACATCAACTCATATGCTCAGGTTGTGAGGAGATCTGGAGTCACAACACAAGCTAAAGTGATCATTGTTTGCTTTGTTCTTGTTTCCCCATAAGAAAACCAGAAGTGATACCTGTATTAAAAAGACAACAGAAGGAAAAAAAAAAAAAGCTTGCATGTGTGGGCTATATTTTTCTTTATTTCTTTGAAAGTCAAACTGTAGATATTCTATATTTTTTTTTAAGTAAACTCCTATTTTCTTGTGCAGAACAATGGCTTTCCCTGCTTAGAAACACTTCTGCTGTCACAGAAATTTAAAAAACCATGCCCTTGCTTTAACATCAACCAAACTGAACGCTACAAACTCACATAATAAAAAGCTAACACTGAACAGAAAGATTTCTTTAACATTTTTTTCCAAACAATTCTAAGAAAGAAAGGCTGAAAAGTCAGTTAAGTTACTTCCATCTAGGTAGTCTTAACGTATTTCAAACGTACAAGATTTGGATGCTTTATCACTGATCCCCTTACGGCTCACAGAAATTGAAGTTGTTCAGTTTCTATTAATCATCCCAAGGTAGCAGTACAGTGTTTCCCTCTGGTTTCCAACTCCTGTTCAGAGTGAGAGAGCAGTAAGGCATTCTCACTCAAAAAACAATAACCTTGTTGAGACACCTTTGGTGTATGGCTTGTAAAATCTAAAATCTTGGCTCTGGTCAACATATCAACATGCAAAATTAAGTGAGTCCGATTGCTCTTCAACTTAAAACTAAGAAAATACTCCCATGGAATACGCGTTTAAGTGAAAAACTGGTGCTGCACAGAACCAAAAAAAGATGAATATTATTGGTCTCTTCAAAAAGAAAATCAACAAATTTAAGATAAATTTTATACCATGTAGGACTAAAAGATCAATGGTTATTACTTATACAAGAGCTGGTATTACTTTTTTTTTTTTTCCTAAATCAAAATTTCAAGTTACCAGGTTTGCTAAGGCTCTTGAATACAATCCCTGTTATTTCCATTTACTTAATTTTTAATTGATTTGTCACTATTTCAATCCAGCTGTTGTCACCTGTGATTTTGTTCTAGTCTTTCCTGATACCAACAAATTACAAGAGTAATAAACTTTTATTAATCAGATAAAAGTATTTACTTTTTGAAAATTACAACGTATTTCCATGTATCAAAACATGTATTAAAAAACAAAAATGACTTTCATTTCTGACGTCCAATAACTAGAATCAAAGCCCTGCCCACCAAGAAGACTTAACGAAGGAGCAATCAGGATTCAGTCATTTTTCTTCTACAATAATCCAGCTGTAACTCTGACCAAAAAGTAGTTGTGGAAATTGTTACTAATCCAAAATTTCTGCAAAGAGGAGTTAACCCCTCCCCCACAATAGTTTCTTAAAGTAATTTTGACAAGATCATCAAAGTGAAGATTTTGAGGCACTAACAGCAATATTGTCCTGCTAGTCTCTAATATTTTCAGTATTGTGACTTCAATAAAAATGTAGGCAAAAGCTAAAATTTTTTTTCTTTCCCCATGGCAGCCCAACTCACTGAAGAAAGCAAAATTAAATAAAAATAAATGGAGTTTTAACTCAGTGTTCAGCATCAGAACTTTGGGAATCCTTCCAATATTGTAAAATCGTATGTACAGTATTGACATCAAGACTTTTGAGGAAACACATTTTTTTAAACATAGTAGATCAGAAGACTAGACAAGTTGTTTACCGTGTAGGTATTTGGCAAATTGGTTAGACCTTTACAGCTCAGCTGAACAACTTAAACAAAAATAAGACATTATTGTCAAATCCTGAAGTGTGCTGGTAGGTGGAAACATTAGGACTTTTAACTAACTCATCAACCTCTGAAAGATTACCATAGATTCTAGAAATCCACTGACACAAACCCAGAAGCATAATTCTTTAACAAAATGCTAATAAATAGAAGAAAAACATAGAATAAATGTAAAGATAATATTTCTTAAATTATTAATAAAAAATCAAATACTGCAAAGACAGGATTAAAGGAATAATTTGATTTAGTACATAATTATTTCTGATTTTTCAGGAAACTAAATATGAGCAAACCTGTACCTATCTGTCTTCCCTGACCTTTCTGACATCTACAGAAATGCATTCTGAATTTTATTCTGTAAGACTGGAAATGAAATGTTGCGTTTGATCATATGAATCAGGCAGTAAGTCAAGCAAAAGATAAAATAAGCACACAAGGTCTGCTGCCCACTGTGAGTGAGCTGGGGAAATCTAAAAGCGGGAGCCTGGTTTTATACACAATGCAAACACACATGCATGCACAAAACACAGAAAGGCCACAAACAACAAAGGTACTTTTGATTCAGGCACTTTTTTATGGCTTTTCATTTGGGTTATTTGTGTTTTCCAGAAAAGTAATATAAATGGTAAAAAATTCAGTGGCACAAAAAAAGGCATTAAGAAACTGAAAGCCCATTTCCTTATGTTGGGCTTCCTTCAAATATTACTAAAATACCTATAAAAACTCTGCTGCATTCTGTTTTTCTGGCACATCATAATACTTCAAAATAATTACTTGAGATTACAAGAAATAGATAATTACAAGCATGAAATGCATTATTTTATTTATCTATTTATATCAAACTACAGCTATAGATCATGAAAACAATCAGGTAATTATTTTTTATATTGTGACATCTTATAGTTTCATAGGTTCTTTCAACGGAGACCTGAGGCAACAGCTGATCATTCTTTCAAAGGTAAAAAAAAAAAAATACAAATTGCTGATGAATAGAACAGTCATATCTATAAATTTATTCAGTTCCCATTTAATGTTCCTTTCATATTAACACCAACATTTCTCACTCACCTGCCACTGCATGCCTCCTACTGGGATCAGGGATCAGCAAAAGAGACTATAAAATTAAATTGCTACAAACCATTCCTGTTTTTCCTTTCCCTCATTTGAGCAAATCTCCTTGAAAAAGAAACTTCTCTGTAGTTCTGTCCTTTACCATTTTGCCTTTGAAAGTACATATATACTATGCCTGCACTCATTGCAGGACCTCCTGGCACATTGCTATCAGTTCCAGGAGTCTTATGTAACTTCACATATGGTATGTTATCTATTTGTATTAAATTATTGTTGATACTACACATTTCTGAAGTCTTTGCAAGTTGTCTTTTTATAAAAAAAGTCCAAATATTATATTTTTTTTAAGTTATTGAAACTATTCTTAGTCCTATTAGGCTGTAAAACTGAGTTTCCTTAGTAAGGGCAAGACTAATTATAGAGAATGGAGATGAAAATTACTTAATTAATAAATTTGGCAAGCCCTTAAAGATCACACAGAATAGCTTTTAGCATGAAAAATAACAATGTGGAATCCTGATGGATCACCAGATACTGAATAGTTGGTAGTTTTCACGTTTGGAGACTTGAATGCTATGATAGGCTGAACCTTAGCAATTTAGGGATAGAATGTACTATGCCAGTAGGAGAAGAAAGAAATACAGTTGAGGGAGATTATTAAAAGAAAAGTATTTTCAAACAGAATCAACCTAGGGGCTTGAAATGTCAGAGGCTGTGAATTTGGTTCACTACTGTCTTTGACCAGATTCAGTAATGTAAGATTTGAAGAAATTGAGTGCAAAATGTTGAATGAGAGTCTCATACAGTGGGGTATGACATATTTTCCAGAGGTATACAAGGCAGAAAGCTGAAAAAATGTTTCAGGACTAAAAGAAATATGGGTGACTCAACTAAAGTGAGGTATTCAGAAAACAGACATTAAAATATGAAAAAATAAACATTAAAATTTCACTGTTTATTAAGTAGATATGCAAGACAGCAATTCAATTTCCCTATTTCATGTTGTATCTACAAAGTTGCATGGATGAATACAGCGAGGTCAATGTATAGAAATAAGACATAAGCACTTTTTCCTAAAGGTGCATGCCCTGTTTAAGATGAGTAGGGTTAAGGTCAGGGTTTTTATGAACTCTGCTAGTCCTTTCAATGTCATTTATTCAGGCTAAAATTTACTCATTACATGAGCAACTTCTTTCCACTGTCATAAACCAATTTCTTTTTTTTTGTTGTTTGTTTGTCTATGAAAAACTTTAAGAAACAGAGATTGTTGAAAATCAGGTCTAATATAACTCTTTGTAAAAGAATCTATAGAAAATCTTATGGCTATTGCAAGCAAAGGCCTCAGACAGCCTTTGTGTGAGCATGCAGTAAAAAGTTTTGCATCATTATCAGCACAACATCTGATGAGCAAACATCCCACAGGTTTCCATGTAGATGGTGAGGTTTGGTGAGCATTCAGGTTTGGTCAGGTCAATTTGTAAGAGCTGTAGTATGAAGGTTCTTTAGTATTCATCTCAAAAATGGGAGAGCTGGCACAAAAAATAATTACTGTAGCTTACACAACAATTTCTGTTTGCTGACTGCCTCGGGGAGCCCAGCAGACACCTGTCCTGACAGCAGAGTTAACACAGCTTGTGCTGAGCTGTGGTTTATTGCTTTTAGTGACAAACATTTAGAACTGCCCTTTGGTTATTTTAAGTATCAGCAACTTAGCTAAAAGCCATTTCCAACTTGCACAGCTCAAGAAACCCCATGAGAACTTCCTAAGGTTGGACTCGTTCCAGAACTCGAGGAAGAAGTTAAGTTTTCATAGATATGCATGAGTTTTAACTCCACAATGACTCTTTGTTCATAAATGTTACGCTTATCACCCTTGCTACCAAAAATAGCACATGCAACCCTTTTTACTCTTGGCAATTATGCACCAATATAACCATATTTAATACAGAAAGGAGCCTGTAAGAGGAATGCTTATACAATGAGGCATATATAAAGAGACTGAAGGATCAAATTGCTTATTTCAAGAGTATAAATATTTTATGTTTCCACCTAAGGAGTGTTCAGTAAAAGTTGTTTTCCTTTGAAGTCTGGATGACTTTTGCAAACTCCTGCCACATTCTAGCAAAGTTGAATGAGACAAGAGACATGGATTACTTTTGTAAATGAAAAATGCCGAGCTACACCCGTGGGCTTTCCTGCGAACAGCGTTTGTTACAGATGTTTCAGGAAAAGCAAAATAAGCTGAGGGGAGCAGTTGTTCACACTGACAAAAATACCACGTGCCATTCATAGGGTTAGGTGAATATTTTACAGCAATTTTAGGAAGTATTTCTATTGGTGGCTACTTTCTTTCCTCCCTAGTAAGTGCAGTTCTTAAATACATTCAAAACAGTCTAATCTGCCTAGTTGGAGATATGCTGAGGGGCAGTTTCTGCAGTCACTCCAACACCTCTGTCCTAATTGCTTTTTCCTTCTCATTATTTCTTAGGCAGCTCTTCCCCACAAAACAAGAGAAAAGATCATCTAACAGAATCGTAGAATGATTTGCCAACCTTCCTTGGGGTTTCTGATAGATCAAGGTTGGGGGGACGACACCCGCTCCCGTGGAAGGTGACCTGGTTCAACGAGTCTCGGGGTAGGTCGGACCACAACTTATGACCGTCCTTACCCCGTAGGTGTTGAAGAGACCCGTCGATCAAGGTGACGGAGTGTCATTTCTTAAAGAAGGATGGTAGGTTATATTTGTTATCCTCTTTCAGTTTAAACCTATTCCCCCTTGTTCTATTACTACATGCCCTTGTAAACAGTCCCTCTCCAGCTCTCTTGTAGGCTCCTCTTAGCTTCTCAAAGGCCAGAACAAGATCACCCAGAGCCTTCCTTTCTCCAGGCTGAACAGCCCCAACTCTCTCAGCTTTTCATCGTAGGAGAGGTGCTCCACTTCTCTGAGCATCTTCATGGTTCTCCTATGGACTAGCTCTTTGTCTTTCCTGCATCGGGGGTCCCAGGGTTGGACAAAGCACTCCAGGTGGGATTGCACAACAGTGGAAAGGAGATGCTGAATCACCTCCCTCAACCTGCTGCCCACACTTCTTTTGATGCAGCACAGGATACAACTGGCTTTCTGGGCTACAGGTGCACATTGCTGGCTCAAGTCCAGCTTCTGTCCACCAGCATACCTAAGTCCTTCTCAGCAGGACTCCTCCAAATCCACTTACCCCCCCAAGCCTGTATTGTTACATGGAATGATAAGTGTGCAACTCCCCCATTGTGGGAAATCCTTCAGAGAGGTATAACTATTTAAAGGCCTCGTAGGCATGCTTTGTAACCAGTGCTTTCGGGTCCCTTTGCAACACAACAGGCTTCTAGACCGTGCTCATAACAACTCACAGGCTGCTTAATTCCAAAATTCTGAAGAAATTTTCCGATGAGATACTAACATTCACTTGGGCCAAGAGAATCATTTAGCTGTAAGATTTCTGAAATAGCTATATTAATTTATAGTGTTTTCTTCCACTCCAGATAGTGAAGTTGTAAGTAAAATGAAAATGATACCTGATCGTGATTCTCTTTTCCCCAGAACACGCAAACAGAACTATAATCAAAGTACTTCTACATGTAAGTTTTATGAAGAATTACACAACATGAGATATTCAAACTATTCTTATCAATCACACTAATGGGTGTGTAGGTAGGAGGGGGCGTTTGAAATACTTTGCTGTTTTCAACTTACATAATAAATTCCAGATAAGAGGACTTTAAAAACTGAGGAAAAGTGCCTAAGAACAGTACTTTCATAATTTGTGTACTGTCTTAAAATACATGTCCTTGAACCAATAATCAATCAGGATTTTTATTAATCACAAGAAAAAAAAAAAGCATTATTGTCTGGAGAAATAACTAACTACAGGACTAGGAACCAAGAACACAAACTCTAATTTCACTTTTCTCTTTTCTAGGATCAAACCAGTCAACATCCCCATCTTCACCTTTACTAATAAATTAAGTAATTCTAAAAAAAAAAAAAATAATCTTCTGGGACTTTGGAACTTGATCATTTTATAATGTTAGATTAGACACATTCATTGTTAGAATAGTTGCTGGTGTGGCTTTGGATGAAAGTAGCTAGTCATCCTTCAAAAAACAGCCATGCTTTGGAGCTGGGACGGGCCATTCCCAGTAGTTTGTGTGTGGCTGGTGTACTTCAGCAACTAAGAGAGTGTGGTGGTACAGACAGCAGGGTGTTTGATGCCAGGCAGCATCAGGGCTTACAGGACAGTCCCAGTACATTTATTTTGCTAAATACTGCCTTTGCACTCTTTTTTTTTTTTTTTTTT